AAAAAGAACACTGATTCTCTTTTGTGCAAATTTGTATCAAGCTTCGTTTTATGTCAGACACTGTTTAAAAAAGAAAATTGTAATTTGCTGTGGCTAGTACGGTTAATGTGAAGATTTGGAATATGAATGTATCGGACAATGTTGACCTCTGCCTGAGTAATTTTAGGCAACAGAGGAAGGTCTAAAATAGAAAGCTGAAAGGTGCGAACCAGACTCTTTTGCGACTCGAGGCGTTATCGAGGCCCAAAGACGCGTCGAAAGTTTTAGGAAAAAGTCCCAAAAGTGGCGTGAGTGCGGAAAAAACAGAAAGAGTGGAAATAAGAGACTTCTTAGTGAATAGGGGTATGAATGACATGTACGTATGCAGAAAAGAGGGTATTATAGGAACAGTCTTCACATAGCAACCCACTAATCACTAACAAAGCAAAATATGGCAACTAAATATCCCACTAAAATCAAAATGATACATATATATAAAAAAGTAAGAATATTATACGGTTGATCTTCACATAGCAACGAACTAGTCACTAACACAGAAAATTATAACACGCTGAATATCCAAAAAAAAAAAAAAACACATCTCTAGACTCCCTAAGTCCGTCCTGAACTCTAGTAAACCATCATGCTACCGGACTTTCGAAAATTTGATCCTGCATGACACGCAAAATTAATAATCAACATATCAAGTACCGCTAAACACTAAAATTTCCGATATCGATAAAACACGAACAGGAGACGAGAATTGCTGTCATCGCAGGCTAAAGCGACGAGAACGATGGCTACGGATCCAGACGCACGTCGTTCTCGGCTTTCCATAACGAGATACACAGCTCGTAAACAGACTTTGCTAAACCGAAACGATCGGTAGAAGCTATGGAAACGGTTTACCTGGCAGCTTAAGTGCTCTGTCTCGGAGCAAGATACATTGGTGCCGATGCACGACAATTCACTTACCGCGAATCGAAAAATCTATTGCCGCGTTCTGTTCAGCTACGCTTACCGAGCCCGCCGCAAACTCCTGTTTCAACTGTGAAAAATATGCGAGACGTTGAAAATATTGGTCTGTCCACCGTTTGTAAATTCGATAGTTTATCGAACGCGGGTAAATATCTTGGTGAAATAAATTTTACCGAGAAAATCTTTTATTCACAATTCAGGACGAAAAAGAAAAAAAAAACTACTTTAAATAAACTGTTATGGTTGTCTCGACGATCGGTCGAAATAAATATGACACATCGTTTATACTTCGTATTCGATTTATTGTGTCTCACCGTTTAACAGTAATCATTTCGTGTTACAATCGTTTTGGCGGTTCACACGTATCCGTAAAAACATTATAATATACAATAACTCTGTGCCGTAAAATGTTTCATAGATTACACAGAACGGTTACCAGTGACGAATCGTTGAGCAACTGTTATTGCTGTTGGAACGAGACAGCAAGGTTTGTGAAGGTAAAGGTATGTGTGTTGTATGTGTGTGTGTAGATAGGATCGATCTTAAAAACGCATCAGTGAGGAAAGTTCCATCGAACCTTTTTCTTTTTCTCTGCTTCTCTGTTTTCACGCTTCGCGGAACTCGGGATAAATGATAATTCGATAACGTAGAAAATGTTGCGTAATAAATGGTGGCAGTATCACTGGGGGAAACGGATAAAAAGATTTTTCGCTACGCTTTCCACTCTCTCTCTCTTTTTCGTCGCGTTATCCCGAGCTTTCGAATAGAGGAGCGTCAACCTCGTTTATATTTCACTGGAATTTGCATGTATTCTTTTTGATCAGAGATGCAGATCCGGCGACACTCGGCTCGCTAACAGCTGCGGCTCTACAAGTGTCGCATAATTAAAAAATGAGACTGCAGCCTGTGACTTCCATTAGCCCTCGTCCGATTACCGAGTTTCGCGCGGTTACATTTTTAGTCGCCGCAACTGTAGACAGGCTAGAACCTTCTAGTCGTGACTTTGAGCCGTTCTTACGCTATTCTTTATTAAACATTTTTTACAAAATAGAAAAAGAATCGATGCAAATGTTACGAGATACAAGGTACATGCGTAAAACTTGTACAAGCGACACGAACAACCCACACTCAACAATCATCGATCATTCCTAATGTTCACACCAAACACAATTTTCCACCGAGCGAAAGAAGAAACGTTTTCAATTAAAAACTAAAATTTGAAAAGTACAGGGTAACGAACGGAATAAAAGAACGACTGAAGTGATACCAGAATCGAACGAAACTGTTCCTTTCTTTTCTTCGATAATTCAACGTTACAGTACGATATTACAAAAAAAAAAAAAGAAACCTTATAACCCACGCGAGTACTGAGCACGTTCGAACAACTCGACAATACAAAATCGATTCCGCTGGTTCTCGTTACGTTAATTGCACTCGTTACGAACCAATTCCGTTTCTTCGTACGCGAACGTTGTGTCCCATGGATAACGAGAGATCGCCGCGCCGCGATTCTCCATGATCTTTCGAAAACACACGCTCTCTCTCTGGAGAAGAAAAAGAAGAAAAACACATCGTAGAACGTCCGCTTTCGGTCGAAGATCGATCTCGAACTTACGACGTCCCCCCTTCTCAAATCACAGACAGCTAACGAGGTACGCTCGCTTAAGTTACCCCCGGCCTCGTTTCCCTGTTCGTGCACCGTGTGTACGTGCCGCGAAACTCACCGGCAGATATTTATTCCGCGATCCCACATGGCAGTCTCTGATGACTTTGGGGATTCGTGAGTGGAAGCAGCAAGCGGGCTTAGTTTCGTTTAGGGCGAATCGATGAACCGGAAGCACCGGCAAGTACACCACCATCGACGCTGATCGCGGCTACTTGATTGCCCGACCCTTGGATCTCTCCGCACGCGAACTTTCTTCCTTTTACTTACTTCTCCTCCCTTTCTTCTTCTTCTCTTTCCTTTTTTGTTTCTTCCACTTCGTTCTTTTTCCTTTCCATCCCTTCACCACCTTCAACCTCGATCATTGTAATTTTTCACTAACGCGGTTTCCACGATCCGATTATTACACCGGCACACGTGAACCGTTACACTTCAGCAACGAACCAAGCACGCTATGGTTGAGCTTGTTTTATCGTGGTTCGAATTTTCCTTCGATTTATCGTCCAACTATTCGATGGACCACAGAGTGTCTTGTTTATTCGATATTTTAATTGGTACTTGATGGGCGTTACTTGGTTAGTGTTTCTGGATCATTCAGGGTGAAGGTGGGTTTGACTCCTTGGAAAATGTTGCAAAGTGCTCAAGCAAGCAGACAATGTTGGACCTTGAATTGTTGCTTGATTAATGTTCGTGGATTATTCAAAGTAAAGGTAGGTTTGACTCTTTGAAAAATGTTGCAAAGTGCTCTCACTGCTAAGGTGATCCTCTATCGACGATAGAGAACAGACATAGTAGAACATCTATGTGACTTTAATTAAGGCAAGTGATCGTAATTAATATCGTAATACTTAGCAGCAATTAAGGTATCAACGTTGACAATAAATAACATCTTATTTAAGCGAAACGACGTTTACATACGCTCTCTGCTATGTACAATCGTTCAAAGTGAGATTCAGACAGGTATCTTAGGCCCTCGACTACCTTTCGTTCTGTCAACGATCTCGATTTTGCTCGTGTACCAAGCGAAATCGATCGAAAAACCCGGAATCTGACCCAGAACTATTCCCATCTATCTCACAACGACGTTCGTGTGACGTACATGCGGGATTAGAAGTTAAACACGCGATGTTTGACATGTACACCGCACACTGTGCCACAGAGTTTCAACTGAGATTTTGGTAGAAGACAGTACGTGATGTCTCTCGAGCCTGAGACGATCTATATACACGTAATATGTCACCGATTGACCGGGACGGATATTACCAGTGTGGCCGGTGGAAGATATCGAGCAGGAACGAGGAAAATACCATCTGCAGAACGAAAGCTCGCAGGCTATAACCGCAGGCGTCCATCTTTACACGATACATGTTCCATGTTGTCGCCCGATATGTGAAATATCGAGGTCTACTTGGGTAGATCCGGCATTTTGGTAGCTTCGGATGCTGTATACGCAGGCAACTCCTCGCGGATTAGCATAAGTACACACACGTGATAGTTGGAACTCGCAAATATAGAAGAATTAAAAATATAGTTATCTGACAAATTGAAATCGTTTCAGGCAAAAATATATCCACGTGAGGAATAGGCCAGCTTCGATTCGCAGAATGACCACAGCAGCTAGCATAAACGGGACGTTCAATGGACTGGAATCGTATTGGAAAATTTTATAAGCACTCGAACAGAGCGTTCGTAATTGATCATTTTGTCGACGACGACGTGGACGAGAGAATGTTAGACTCGTCGGTGTGTAAAGGCGATTTGCCATCGTATATAGTAAAGAGGAAGGATGAGACTGTTGATAAAGCCAGGTTGAATAAGGACCATTAGCCGGCGTGTTAAGTAAAACCATCATTTCCAGGACGATCAACCTTGAAACCGTTCATTTTTCAAGAGGCTCGAAAGGCTGAAGAGAGGCCGTCAGACCAGCCAAACAATATGGATGGATCAATTTTTCCGATGGCTGAAACGACGATCGTCGCGCCCGGTGAAATTGATCGAATTAACGACCGACGCGGATGAAATCGTTCGTCTTCAGGTATTAACGACTAGGATCCGATAATATGTTCGATAGATTGTTCGAGGTTCACGGTACACGGAATACAAAATATATTAGAAAACGATCTGATCTAGGTTACGGTGAAAAATAGAGCAATCAATCGATACGTTTCTATTAGACCATCGACGAGTAACGATACTTTCTCGTTTAAAACTTAAACGGTACGGCACCATGTCAGGTAGAACAATTAGAGCCCAGGATCGTCCTTTTTAGATAAGGACGCGACGGTTATCTCGATTTATCCGATATAAGCCAATTTACGAGTAAAAAGGACGGCGATCAGGATTTCGCGGTCGACTAGCGAAATCTCCGATGAGCTTTTCGTCAGTTGGCGTTCTTCATCATTTTTAGCGGATCCCTCATGTAACGTGCGAAAACCTCCTTCTTGAAGGTCTCGAAGTGCTTCCTGTTGGCACTATTTTGTCGCTCGCGCCAGGCTGGCCTGGTTTTTCTCGTCTGAAGGCCCCAGTGACCCGTGAACACCGGGGAGAGGACCTTGAATTGGTACCCGGCTACGTACATTTCGTATACCTGTGGACAGAAGAAGTTTCCATCTAAATTAACTGAATTGCACGTATATATTGATATTCTTAAATTAGGATCGGTTAAATTTTAGATTAGTTAATGAATAATTTTAACACTTAGCCAACCGAATGGGGAGATCTCCCCGCTGTGAAGTAAGTCGCTGCATGACCGATCGGGGAGATCTCCCACATTTCTCTTAACAACGCGTTGTCTTTTATCACGTTTACTTTTTCTTTTATTATAAGTCTTCCTTGAACCGGAATTGTTCGCAATTCATGAAATACCTTTTCTGCTTTTGTAAAACACAATCAGCGTACGGTCAGGCGTGGCGCGCATGGTTGGCTAAGTGTTAACACTGTATTTTTCGAGATCCAATTCTATTTTTTTCTTGTTTATCCTAACAATGAAAATATCCTCGCGCAATATCGAACGTATAATCTTTCACGCTTTGTTATTTCAAGTTATGAAAACCGTGTTGTTGACAGAAAAAAAGAGAGTTGGAACACCTAGTTGTACATATCTGAAATCCAATTTTTGCTGTACTATATTTCAGAATAAAATACATGCAATGTATGCCGCGTAAATATATTGAAACTTGTTCGATGGAAGCACGTATTCATGCGGGAAGAGAACGAATCCGATCGGTTTGCTGGACCGAGATTCGAATTTACATTTTTCGTTTGCTCAACTACTGTTTCCGTCAATTGGGTTATCCAAACCGTCGATAAAAAGGCAGCCTCTCTCTAAGCCTAATATATTTAATAACACAAAAGTGACGACATTACTTAATTAACAAGAAAGACAACTTTGAACGATCGAAATTTTCTTAACGAAGAATAAACGTCTCGTGGAGAAAAGGTAGCTTCTTCGATCGCTGTTTGCTGCATCGAGCGTTCAGAAACTCGTCGACTCTGCATGCAAATAATATCAGAAACAAACGACTGCGGATTCGCGAGTGGAACGATCCGATAGCACGAACCAATCCACGATACAGTTCGATCCAAAATAACGAAACGAGATTGTGAACAGCAAACGACTGCTCCAGCTTTCTTACTTCTCCCAGAATCACCGATACGAAATGTAAATTTGCAATTTGCAACACGAAAACTTTTTCCTTTCAATTTTACCTTAATTAAAGATCACAATTTGCACGATTATTCGACGAAACTAACAACGTGTAAAGTAATCAAGAATTACACGTTTCATCGCTGTCTAAACAGAGCGCAAAATAAATCTCGCTAATGAATCGTCGAGAAACATTTGTTCTTCTCGGTGTTCTCCGCAGTTCCTTCGTGATATTGAAAAAGTGTTTCCACGCTCGTTGCACGCCTTGCACGCGAGAAACGCCGCGGAAACACCGGGCTGCGGGGTGAAACTTTGCGAAATTATATTGCCCCGCAGTTTCGCCAGTTGTGCGTTTCGTAAGTTTGCTGCTTTTTTTTTTTTTTTGTTTTTTGTTACATCGCAACGTGAAAACCGCGGCGAAAGTTGGAGAAAATGTGCGGTAGGATATCGCTCGAACAGCGACATTTCCACAGGAAACATCGTGTTTCCGACGTTACAACGGCGGAATGGTAAGGCGGAAGAGAACACGCCTGGCAATCTCGCCCTCGGTCCGCCAACTGAGACAGGTCAGACAGACCTAACAGACGGGATCCGGCCTTGCTGTTCTCCAGTCGGGATGCGTCTTCGTGAATAATCATACGTAACAATGGCAAGTCATACATGACAGGTGCACGCAAAGCTGCTAGACACATTGTGATTACTAAGACGGAGATAACGGAACTGGCTTTCGACGTTTGATCTGTAATTGCGCGAAAGTTATTGTCGTCGAGGAAATGAATTCGGTGTTCGTGACTACGGTGATCACGTAGCTGATGTTACAATTACCGGTTTAATGTTCCGATGTAGTTTATCTGATTTCATTATGCAGCATTTCCTTACGCCTAAGGAAAAGATTTCAGCTTTTATTTCATTGATGCAACTGTGTGGAGAATTTTGGAAGATCTAGAGGTAGAGTATCTTTAAGTGACATGTGGCACACTGTTTTATGTGTTATGTGATATGTTGCTTTTACAAAATATTGTACAAAATTTTAACTATTATTTATTATTAAGGAAGGGAATCATTTTGTAACACGGTGATTTAATAAATGAAATTGCCAAGTGATCTAAGAGACTGCACGTCTGTGGTGACGTCTTAAATTCAGCCAATCAAATTCTAGATATTGAAATTTAAAAATTTGAATTCAGCCCATCAAATTAAAATTATTCGAAGTTTAAAGACAGATGTCTGTCGTTAATTTTTAAAAATGAAATACGAAAGTTTAAAAAAAAGTTTGAAAAAAATTGAATTACACATCGCATTAATTGCTCGAAATTCTAAACGTAACTAAAAGCAGAAAGACATTATTAGCACAAATTTAATTTCTCTAAAAACAAACGAGTGATAGGAAAATCTTTTCTACGTTGGCCCATTGAAAGAGGTCCCGACATCAAATTTTATCCCAGATTTCACGTTATCAAGAATGTTACAAAAGTGACATAATAGGGAGCAAAAGAAGGTACGACATTCGAGTGAAAATAGCCTTTGTGAACGGAAACTCGACGAATCCCACAGGGGATGGTGTTTGAATGAAAAAGGCTTCGCAAAGAGGACATAATGAGATTCATTAGGCAGCAGACGACACGAGAATGGTCGTAATTAATGTAGAGGAACGCAGCATCCGTAGAGCGGAAGCGCGCCTATGACGCCTTAGACGACGTCCAAAGGAATTGATAGACGGCGTGTAATCTTCTGTTCCCTGTCTACTGGAGATGCCCAGTGAATAATTATATGTACGTAGCGTCAAGACGACGGTAATACCGTGGTTTCCGGGATCAGTATTCTGTTAATCACGGGAACTTCGGTACTAAGGACAGACATGTCATCGAAATGTCATCGACCAATCTACCAAACGCGTTCGTACACACGATTGAATTTCGTTTCAAGCAATTCTAATACGTCAAACGTAAATGTAACAATAAGCAGAAATAAAAATTTACAAATGTCACTTAACCTCGCAAGAAAAGCTGAAATTGAATAAAATATAAAACAAAGATCGACACGTTGATGTTAAAAATTTTCTAATTATTTCATCGATTCGAACAAATCACAGCTAAAATTATCCTTCAGGAGAAACGACGACGTTCGTTAGAGAAATGTGACGAATCATAATAAAGAGTGTGAACACGATGTGGAGGCAGGAATATGAATAGTGGACAATGGTCAGGGTGAATTATGCTGGAACGTTGGCCTTGATGTAGGCACTTGGTTCGTTGATTAGTAAAACTGAATTGCACGGGTAATGCGCATTACACACGATTATTCGTCTTAATTAGTCAGTGGACGAGAATTAATTCCCTTTACAGCATTTCCCGCGGGTCACATTCTTGTGGCCACGGTGTAAAGCATTTCTAGCTCTTGCAATACGAGCCACTCACGGGGCACCTGTTTGTCCCCTGTTTCGAGAGAACACAGATTACATTAAACAACATAACGAGTTGACGTATCTTCCTAATTACCGGGCCCGGACACTTTGCTTTGGTCGAAGAATCCTATTTCCGCGTCACCAGCCGCTGGAATAATCATACGCGAACGCGACGAAATGTTTTCGGAAGTACTGTCGTTAATCAAGTGCAAACGTTCTTTCTGCCTTTCGCGTCTTAATTATTCTTCATTTTTCATTATTTCTTGAACGATCTTCACTTTTGTTTGCACTTTAACGTTTAGGAGTCACTCGATAACTGTCAAGAATCTATTGTCAGAGATTTTTCTATGTGCTTCGTTATTAATTTTGATAAGTAGAAACAGAAAGAGGAAAAAATTAGGTAAAATGATTTTTACAGAAAAATTAAAAACCTCCAGGGAGTTCTGAATGATCTTCGTACATATATCAGTTCCGTTCTTTTTGTTGGTTTTAGTAATTGATAGATTGATATCGTATCGAAATAAACTCACAGCACTATACGAACGATAAGTATCGGTTCTTAACTAAACAAAAGTGAGTGATTTGTAAATATTTCTTAAAAGTTGTGATCGAGTGCTTCTTAAGTGGCTGTGCAGAACGAGACTTGTGTAGAACGCGATAAAAGAACATTTTTAATGTAAATAATAAACTCACGATTATCAGTGGTATTGTCAACAAGTTCAATAGCAACATTTTTGTTACCACAAAAATATAACAGAAAAATTTAAAAAAACCATATGAGTGCCTAAATAAGTATAAGTGAGTGAGCTCGTGATTCTCACCAGAGATCTTCATCAATTTCAGCCGAAACATTGTTACGACAAACCTATTGTAACACAAACTCACGTAACAAATAAAGAAAGAACGTCGATCGTCCCACCTTAGTATGTTTAAGACCTAACACAGAACACACACACAGGGTTCAGGAAAAATTTTTGCCTCCTCTCCCAGAAACAAACAAGTAATTCGTTTTCATCCGTTGATGTAACACATCCAACAAAGCTTTGAATATCCAAAGTTACAGCCGGCACAACCGCTGAAACTTTTCAAAAGCAAACGGAATTATCCGCAGAATTTACCGTATCCAACCGGCCGGTGCTCTCTGTTCAAACGATAACCAGCAGTTGTATTAATGTAAATTTACGCAATTTCTGTAGACGTAGCTGGCAAATCGTTCTTTCACGCGGCCATACCGAGCATACTCCTCCATTCGGTTCTGCTTGTTTCTACCCGGGTTCTCTAACGCCACGAAGAGGAATACAGAATGCTGAAGCTTGCTTGGCACGGTCTGAGCTCGCACTAATCATTAACCTTCCTACACTTACGCAGCTTTGTACACGTACACATGGAATACCTAATATCCCGTTTATTTATAGGTATTTGCACGAGTAGAAGTTTGTGTGCGTGAACGAGCGCAACGTTATCAGCCGGAACACCGTGAAATAATTTCTAGTCTAAAGGGAAAGGATGTGGATAACAAAAGGAAGGAAATCCTCGT